GCATCTGCATCGCAATATACTGCACAAATCAGCCACACTGCAATATATTTTTATAACCCAAATAAAGGATTTTTTTCCTTCCCAATTTGAAATTCCATTTCTCTTGATTGGGAAAGTAATATTCACCTCTGTCCTACAGCACATTGCAGTAACTACTTGAATACACTGTCTTTTTGTGTGGTATTATGCATCACTCTTCTTTATAAACTCTAAAATCAATCAAATAACTGCCTTAAAATTAGTTGACATATTAGATAAATTTTAAACAGCAGTTTGGTTCAATGAAGCCTCTTCAGAGTACAATTATCTGTGGATAGACAGTCAATACATGCAGGTTAACCAAAATCATCACCTCATGACGGGCTCTCCCGTCACATGTGCGCGGTAGAACAGCTGGTACCAGTAGGGCAGGAAGGTGTAGCGCTGGCGCACGGCTTCACGGATCAGTGCAGTGTTTTCTGGACCAAACAGCCAGGGCTCGCGGCGGGGCGTGTCCAGATGGGCATGGGCTCTATAGAATGGCTGGTAAGCACCCGCCTGGTACCAACGCACAAGCAGTTCAGTGCTGGGAGACTTGAAGAAGCCACCGATGTCAGCTGTGAGACAGAGAGGGACATTATAGCCTCGGTTGACAACACAAGACGGCAGGACACAAACTTCTTGAAACAATCCATGTTTAGAGCTCAACTCTTAAAGCGGATTTTGTACTAAATCAATATTTATGTGACTGCAGCTGATTTAACATGGGAATATGGGCTCACCATGGTAATGCCTCATGCCCATTTCCATGACAACCTTACCAAACACCCGAGGGATTTGTATATTAGTCAAAACAATTACGTAAAACTGATCTGAATGAATGCATTTTCCCCTTTCAAGATTCAGTCCTGTTTTACTGCTGTGTTCAAGTTCGATGCTGCACACTCACACCTATTTGAAAGATGCAACATAGCTAAATATTAAAAGGTAGCAAATAAAGGTTTTTTTAGCATTGTTCTGTTCCACATTTGAGGTTTCATAAAAATCAAGACTTTGTAAGTACTATAAATAAAAAGGAAAGGAAAATCTGAGGACTGATAGAACTAGAAGTGGTGCCTCCAGGTTTGGAAAGTCCAACGCTCAGAGCTTTGATGACTTTGATCACTTCTCTGGGCCTGGACTATAAACCTCTAGCTGTAATGATGGTGGTAATTTCAGTCTCCAGTGTGGCAGCAGAGCAGCGTTTAAGCCTTAAGAATTAAGTTAAATCAGGTTCGAACAGTTGTCTGACGGAGGGCAAAACATTAAATGAGGCAAAGGGGGGAAAAAACAAAACAAAACTTGCAGCAGCATCAAGAGATGCATTTGACGATTGTATTCGATTTTAATCAGACTAAACCAATTATGGCTTTATTGTGGTTTGGATGGTTATCCTCATCATGAGATTGACCAGCACAAACAGTATCTGAACAACATCACTGTGCGACATGAATGAAACTGAACACGATGGTCATTTTAAGCTGACCAGAGAATCTAGGAGGGTTGTGCTCACCTCCACAGAAAGAGATTCCAACCAGGCCCATACTCAAACACATGGGGATGGATATTTTCAGGTGGTCCCACTCAGCAGCATTATCTCCTGTCCACACAGCACCTAAGAGCCAAAAAACAAACCTTAACACACAAGATAATGCAACACCCAATTCTTTTTGTTATGAAAAGTAAAAGTAAGGTGAACCGTTTTCATTTTAAGCTTCAATTTACTGCCTTTACAGTACTACTAATTAGGGAATTATTAAGGGTAAGGGTTATCAAACAATGGTTCTTGTCAAACAATGATCCGTGCTGTTTTTATGAGCATTGATAATTTTACTGTCCAAGAGTCGAGGGTCCTTTCACGGCTCAGTCTGAACAAACTTAAAGTGGTGTTTGGTCTAGCCAACGCCAAATGTAAACAAAGAAGACTGCATCCTGTAAACGTCAGCTGTTCGACGTGCGATGCCACGTCTACATTAGAGCAGGCAAGAAAGTAAAGAAAGAAAATGGCTCACCGATGCGCTGAGACCCAGCGAAGAAGGCCCTGGTCAGGACAAATGGTCGCTCAACTCCTCCTGACCGCTGGATCAAACCCTCCGCCGTGGCCATTTGCTGTCGATAATAAAGAAATCGATAAATAAGAGTTAAACAGACTAACATTTACAGTAAGTTACCAAATACAACTTTAGGATCTCTTATTCCTTTTAAAGGAGTTTTATTTTCAGTAACAGGTAATAAAAGGATGCCAAAGATTATCTGTCCTCCAACAGAGTAACAAACTCCAAATAATCTATAGGTTCTCTAAAAAAAATTATTAATGAGAAAGGTCACAGTGAAGTACACTCACCACATATAAACCATACAGGTTGTGTATATCACGATGCTCCCAGGATCCATGCATTGCATCCTTGTGCATAGTGACCTCCGGCCCATTGAAGACTGATGGCTCATTCATGTCGTTCCATGTATGCAGGTTTTCCATGGTGCCCTGGGGAGTGAACAGATTAGATTTCATTTTGAGATGAGATTAAACAAATTTATGGAAAATCTATTTATTTTTACTCCTAAAAAGTTCAAGCTTGAATGAATATTCAGATACAAGCCAATTGTGGAAAGCTCGGGTGGTTCAGTTTCATGTGAGAATATATTAAATAAATTTTGTTTACTAAAACAAAAATGTAACAAAAGCATCATATATCAGTTACACAGGTGTCACGCTGTATCTTCAATAGGTAAACTTTTAGTTGCAGATTAGCAACTTCATGTATTTGAGGCTCACCTCATACTGATCGTAGGCAAACATGCTGGCCCACCAGGCTCTCATGTCTGCACGAGTGAAGTCTGGATAACTGGCACTTCCTAACAGATGTCATCCAACCCAAGGAAAAACAAAGAGAACAAATATTAGAGAAATATTTTATGTTTGATAAAGAAATACTGATGTGGAGTTCTCACTCTCTTACCAGGCCAGCACCAGCCTTCATAGTCGCCACCATCTTTATTCTTGACATAGAAACCCAGAGAGCGGATTTCATTATGGATCTTGTAGTTGCTGTCTACTTTAATGTGGGGGTCCACAATAGCAACCATCTAGAAAAGTAAAAAAATAAAAAGTGAAGTGAAGTTCTGGCCAGACACCCATCAAACTGTGCATCCTATCACTGTGATCGTCATATTTCCATCTGTACCTTGCGCTTCTTGTCCATGAGACCCTGCAGCATCTCCTTCGGGGTCGCAAACTTGTGCGGATCCCAGGTGAAGTAGCGCTTCCCATCGGTGTGCTCGATATCGAGCCAGATGAAGTCATAGGGGATGTCGTGCTCGTCGAAGCCGGCATCGACCGACTTCACGTCCTCCTGGTCGTTGTAATTCCAGCGGCACTGATGGTATCCCAGGGAAGCCAGGGGAGGGAAAGACTGAGTGCCTGATAAACATACAGAAGAGGCCAGTCAAGAGCTGTTATTCAAAATTTGTAGTTTTATTACTGGCATTAGGCAGTGGATCAATACTATAAAAGATTAATAAAAATTTGACTTGAAATAAAATTAATTTGAGCAGACGCTTTCATGAATCACCACTGATTTTAATCACTTCTGTTTAAAATTACTAGCAATCTCAAATAGAGGGTTCAAGAAGGCAAATATTGCATTACTGTGATTGAATTTGTGAACCAAATATAATTATTGGGTTCATTGAAAAACTGTCTCAGTATTAATTAATACTCTGCAGATTACAATCAGGTGCTTACCTAGGCTAAAAATGAATCTAATAAACATTATTACAACTAAGGAGACTGGAATATTTCTTATGAATAAGAGATATCAAAACAAATCTGAATAAATTGGACTGCTCATTTTAAGCTAAAAAATAAAAATAGCAAAATAGGTTGTATCCTTGAATAGTCAGAGTTCACCATAAGATTTTTTTTATCGTGTATTGCGCCTTCATACAGCCCAGTAGATTACTGTCTAACTGAAACGAGACGTTTTAGCTCGAGGGTACCACTCCTGTGCTCCCGGCCAGAAGCAATTGCTAACGAACAAGGAAATCCCAACAGGCCCTCGATAAAAACCATTAAAACATTAAGACTATTAAATGAATGCTAGTGGTATTTGTGTATACAACTTTACACAAGAGTCTCAGCAGTATTGACACTTCCTACCTGTAAGAGAGGCGTACTGAGAGAAGACGTCTTTAGGAGTTGGTCCCAGCATAATGAAGACGTCAATGATGCCGCTTTCAGAGATCCAACGCACATCTGTCTGTGGTGTCTCACTGGAGCCCTGAACATAATCTAGCATTTTCCCAAAAACAGTCTGGAAAGAGAGCAGCACGACAAAAGACGCTTTTATATTTTTGATATAATTACTGATGGCTAAAACAAAAAAACAACAACAACGAAAACAAACAAACAAAAAACTAAATTCACTTTAAGTAACAATCCAGATCAAGACTTCTTGGAGGAAATGACAACCCCCCTCCCCCCACATACCTTTCCAGCTGTATTGGAGCTAATATCCACCCAGGTCTCTGCAGCATTAAGCCAGAAGATGCCTGTAGTTCGCTGGGGACTGTGGGCTACCATCACTGGGACAGACCCGTACAAGGCCATAGGGTTATACAGTTCATACTGGAACACATCCAGGTTATAGAGTCGATACGGATCTCCATTACTGGAACACACAAACACAGGCATGCATAAAACATCTGTGCATTTTTCATAATGAAATCTATTCTACATGTAAAAAGCTGGTGGCACTCACTCTGTTGTTTTGAGTCTGAGAGTGTCTGCATGTTCTGGAATACCATAAACATGCTCGACTCCTGGCAGTGAGAAATCTAAACTAACAGCAGATGGACCTGAGGAGCAAACACATCCAACATCAGTCAAAGAGAACACCTTTTCACCACCTGGCAAACCCGAACACACACACTGGCATGCAGACATTATGATACCGATACTGAAATCACAAGGAGGATTTACCATTAGGTTTGCTGTCTGTGTGCGATTTAAATGTTTCTTCCCACATCCCGTCTTCTACTTTCTCTTCCTCTTCCTTTGTTGTCTGTTAGCCAAACAGGGGAATTAGTCACATCACTCAGATCTAGCTGAGATGCAGCAGTGAAATGGTGGTTTTAAATCAAGAGGGAAAGACTGAAAGACAGTGGATTTTATTGTGCAGTACCTCTGCTTGGTTTGCTGGATCAGCCTCCTCCTTCTTCTCAGCCTCTGGGTCTGCCTGACTGCTCATGGCATAAAGAACAACGTGAGGAGGGGTATGGGGAGAAAAAAAAAAAGATGTTACTTTAGCAAAGTCAGGCCATCTTGATGATATTGTGATGGTGGTAATATATGGGATAATTAAACTATGATTCAAGGAAAGAGACATACAAACACAAGTTGGTGATTGCCCCCGCTGACACCACACTGACATCTGACCATATCTACCATTAATTACTGTAATGACAAAAGGGACTGAGCAACTCCCTGCCTTGTGGCTATTTCAAGCTACACATTATGGGACAGGAGCTCCAGAGGCTGTAGCACGTAACACCCAAAGGACTTAGTGGATCAGGCATAAACTGAAAGTAACCAAGAGTAAGCCGCCAAAAGACCCTTCACACATTTGCGACAAAGTTTTGAAATGAATTGCAGTGATATACATGCCAGGGATAAGTGTAAACAACAGCTTGTCTTAAAACCCTGTTAATACAGACAGTAAGTACTGTATTGTTGGTTAAAATAGCTCCAATGCCAGTTCTTACACCAAGAACACGCACAACTACAAACTGAAATATAACCACAAAGAGAGATGTTGCTGTTGGGTTTGGGAATTGAGGTAATGCCTGAGAACTAACAGGCAGGACACAGACTACATGCACTGTCTCCCACTGACTTTGTGGCAGGAGAAGTTAGGGGGTGTTTGTGAGTTTATGCATGATCTTACATTAACGTATACATATTTTATATGCAGATAAACTTAACTCCATTGTCTTGGTGATGTTAGTCATTATTATGCTCTGCAGCCTAGATGGGCTCAGTGTAGCAACTGGTGAACCTGGAACTTGCTAGACCACCATTAAGCGCTGCAACCTGTGGCTGGTCTACAGTCAATTGCTTACATTTTGGTCACGCTAATTGTCAGGAATGAGGGTTACCCTCCATCCAGAATCATCTACCTCTCTCTAACCAAATCTGGTTTCAAAACACCAAGATGGTGACAGCATCTAGGGCTGTGCGATATGACCAAAATCTCATATCCCGATATAAGAATTCTATCGTCCCGACAACGATATAAATCATAAAATGTAACATTTTCTGTAAATTCTGTGAATCTCGGGCAGCTCGTCTTGCGGGAAGTGTTTCCAGCTGCGCGTCATGTAGCAGGAGTCGAGTGTTTTAACCGATGCATGAAACGATACATTTTTAGATATAAGTTGTAACGGACGCCGTTTTCTTTGTGAGTATTTATTACACGGCGTGCTGCGGGGAAAAGCCTGTTCTAACGTTTGAGTCTAAGGTTTATTTTTTGGCACCTGGCGGCTCTTTTTTTAATTCTCATCCGTAAATAATCTGCTCTTTCACGTGATTCAGTTTATTTTGAAAAGTCTCAACGGGATGTTGAGCTTTATTGTGAAAGGTTTATGTGGAACATAAACAAGCCGACACGCGATGCTGTTACCGTCGTTGTTGCTAACGACAACGCATAAAAACAGGTGCTTGTCCGTCCGTATTGTGGTTATATAAAATATAAGAGAAAGAGAGAACTTTACAAAATTAATATAGCTACTACAGCGACCATCAAAACGATGAAAAAATATTGCCGTAAACAGTTTATTTTGCTGCACCACGAAACAAACGATAGCATAAAATGAAACGATAGACGTTTTTATATCGTCATCCGATATATATTGTTATATCGAACAGCCCTAACAGCATCTCAGTGATTTATAAAACATCCCATCCCTCTCTTTTATACTATGTATGACAGCAACATAATCTCTGGTAGATCTAAAATAAGGTTGTGGGAAACCCTGATGTGTGTGTAATGCCACATCATAGCTCTTATCTGGACCTTAAACCAGCGCTAACATTATTTCTGCACTTAGCTCTGACCATAAATTAAGCAAGAGTGAAAATTTGAATCATTCATTCAAAAGAACAGATTGAGAAATCCAGTCAGTCATGCAGTTGCGGTGTTAGATGAATTTATCAGACGAGCTGCTAGAGCAATACTAAAGGAGTACAGTTAATCAAACGTTGATCTGACAAAACATTGCTTTACGCAGACAGTAACTAAAAGGCCTAAAGCAGATAATCTCTCTGGGTCTTCTGATGGTCATTGTAAAGACGGTCTATCACAGCTATGCTAACAGGAAGGGCTGGAATGATCCCTTAATCTAAATAAAAATCAAACAACACCATGCACACACTCACCCACACCCTCTCTCTCCGTCACATTTATTTGAGGGTAAATACAGCAGTTGATATGATGTGTGGCCCTAAATTTTATGTCACTACTGGCAGCATTAGCACATGGGACAGAATACACACAAATCTTAAGGGTCTTTACCTAGAGAATACCCTCTTGATATTATCCCACACGCTAGCCACTGTGCTAGTTACTTTATAGGAGAAACTAGGATGATAGGGGAGAAGAGGACAGAACAACGAGTCAGAGACAATACTCAAAAAAAACAAACCATATCATGGGAACAAAAACAGAAATCATCCACGGAGTGACGACGTGGATTCAAAGAGAGGGCTGGCATTTGTAAATGTGTGTGCATGCGTGGGTTTCTCACGTGTCCTTGCGCATCCTCAGGTGCTCAAAGGCCAGCAGGCCGCGTGAGTTCAGAGACATCAGCACGTCGCTTCCTTCCATGATGTCCAGTCGGAAGGGCCGGGCGCTAATAATGACTCTCTGAGACTCCACCCCCAGGGACAGCACCACACCATTCTCGTCCTGAGACAAGACAGAGAGGCTGAAAGGAAAAAGAGAGAGAGCGAAATGTGAAGTGAGGATTTAGTTTTGATGAAGAAATGCAAAGTCAGGAACTCAATTTGAATAGTTTTTATTATCATCTGATTAATCACAACTTCACACTTAAAGCTGTAAGACAGAGAGGAAATTATCTGAAACAGTTACAAGTTTTTGTTTTACTGGAACAATTTCTATTCAAAGTTTCAGTTCTCACTCACCTGACACCTTCACAGTCAGGAGGTGCAGAGAAGCCGTGAACCATATGATGGGTTTTCTTTCATTTAACAAGGAAAATCGGAGAGATTCTTCATCTTATAATTCCTAAGTGACATCTGAGTGTGTGTTGCTTTGTTCGAGGCATCTCTTTTATTAACGGATCTTTGTCAAAGTAGAAATTTCAGAATTCACACCCTTACTTTACCTAACCTTTAAAAAAGCTGATGTTATCATGAAATATTTTCTGTTGCTCTGCCTATTTAAAGATCCTTTGAAATAAGTATCCTTCCTGTTCTTGTCTTTTCGGCTTGACTCCCAACATCAAAACCTCCACCCACCCATGAAACCCTCACAGGACACTCACGGCTCTGTGGTAGGCTCCCTGATGAGCACGTCTGGGACTTCATAGCGAGGTTTCAGAGGCTTAAGCTCGTTAATCTTCACCCTCGTTATGTTTCCCTGGAGGCGGTAGAGCTCGAGCAACAGACGCACCTGCGACACAAGCACAAAGTGAGAATGAGAACAGTGAGAAGCAAAAGGCAGGTGCCTCATTTTCTACAAACACAGCATAGGAAAACACTGGGTTTAGCAATGGGTTACTATGATTTCACATAACAAAGAGGTTACCCTGGAAAATGGGATTAACATTTTTTATTTCAGCTGACAGTTCAAAAACATAAAAACAAGGGAAAAGTGATTTATTAGCCTAATAATTCAGTTATTAATGCGATAAATAAAGATAAAAGCAATAAAAACAAAAGCAGAAGTAAAAAAAGAAATATAGAGAAATCATATTTTACAGATTGTGCAAATGTTTGTTGGATTATCACAAAGTCCCCTTTCTGTAATCTACCTTGTTGTTGTCATTGATGAGCTGCAGGGTGAGTCTGGTGTTGGTCAGCTCCATGGTCTCCAGCAGGGCTCGATAAGGAGACTCTCCAGGCTTCAAAGCTCGCTGACGCCTGTTTAACATTTCAAACCAAGAGCGACACCAGTTATAAACCTCTGCAATTATGTGCCGCTTTATTTATGAGCAGTTTGTCTTTTGGGAACTCACTTGCAGAAAGCACTCTGCTCACAGGTCTTGAAATTGCCTTTGTCCACAGCCCAAGTCCCGCTGAGGCACAAAGCCAGCCCGACTACCAAGAGAGGCGCCATCCTGTAATGGGAAGCAAAGACAAGAACATTAGCTTCAGCGTGCAATCACATTTGGATGCAACGCCTGGCAGAGTTAACCAAACTACAGTACAGGAGTTAGGTAACAGACAGCAAACACAGACGGACTTTGGTCTCTATGGTGCTAAAACGATGGAAAAATAGCGCCAGAAAATGTGACAGGCAGCTATACTCATTTCCTCACCCAGCACACAGTGCGCATATTAACAAGAAGCACCCCATTGTCCTCACCTCGGACGCTGGTCCTGCAATTAAAGACTCATTCCCAGCCCTACTGTAAAAATCCCGATGAGGGGATGTGTTCAGACTGCCGACAAGGAAAAGAGGCAGTAAAAGCTAACGCAATCAGCTAAGCGGGCTAGCTAGAGAGTGCTCAAGACGGAAAAATACAACAGGAAACCGCCACGAATTTTTTAATTTAACAATAAATAAACGTCTAGGTTTTTACACACGCACTAATGCACCCGATGTCTGACTCTAGTGTTATCGTTAATCGCCAATCCGGATCAAGATAAGGTGCTAACCTTACTAAGAGCCAGCCTGTCAAGTCGCTAATTCAATTCAATTCAATTGAGGGGATATCGAATTTTTCCCGCATTAATTTTCCGACTTTGCGGCAGTTAAACCCCGAAACAGTGAGTTTGCTTTCACGCTTATACGATGTTCAACTACGATGATAAACTCTGTCCTCCCGCGCACTGATAATATTTCGAAAAAAAGAATAAATTGGCGATGAAACAACGGAACTGCTTTGTCCTACCTTGCAGTGAAGGTGGCCATCTTGATTATGCGGCCGCTTGACTCCGCCCCCAATCACTCCGCAACAAAGATCGTTAAGAAATAGGATACTCAGCAACTGCGCTAATATTTACGCGTGTTTTTCAGATAGCAGGTCAATATGTGGCGGTTAACACTGTAGAGAGTTTTTTTTTAATCTTTATGTTATTTTTCTGGCTGTAAAGAGAGGATGAACGTATGAATGTATCCTCTCAGGCACGGACACGTCATCGCCAGGCTCCAGTCAGTGAAGTGCACACATGGGAGTCTTTGTCCCACCGGATTCATTTCCAGCCAATCCGATGCGTGCAACTGTACTACAGCCGTGCTATAAATCATAACGATCAGCGGATGTACACACATCGCCTTAAAGATCAATGCTCGTCCATGATTTAGGCGTGTTTTCCCCTCTGGACCTCATGTCAATGGTCCTGTTTCTTCTTCTTCTATCGGCTTCTCCCTTTCGGGATCGCCACATATTATCAGCCTCCATCCTCAGCATGTAATCCTTCCCTACATCCATGAACCTTCACTATGGTCTCTATCTTTAACATCCTTTGCTCAATACATTCCCTCTGCGACAAACTATCTCACCCTTTTAATCTCCATAGAGCTGTTCCTCTGATCTACTCACTTCTAATTTTGTCCATCCTGATCACCCCTCATGGAAATCTTATCATCTACCACCTCCAGCTCCTCTGTCTTTTTTGCGATCTCACTACCATCTTGTAAACTTTCCCTTTCACTCTTTCTGTTATCCTTCTGCCACAAATCTGTCTTCTTTTCTTCTCTTGTGCACTGCCCATTGCTTTGGATGGTTTAGCCCAGGTGTTTAAACTCATCCACCTTGATCACTCCACCTGTCTCCCTCCCATTCACACACACACATATTATGGCTAGCTTCCACTGACTACCTCCACTTCATCCACCTTTTCTTTTTTGTGAAATACAGATTATCTGTAAGTTGTAGAGTCAAAGACAACTTTAAGACTATTGTAAAGTCCAGGATTGATGATTTGATAATCATCTTTTTGTTTTTACCTTATTTAGAGTGTCTTAACTTTTCTTTGCAAGTTATTTCTTTTTTAACATTTAATCAAAATACAAAAAGAGCCTGTAAACTGTTAATAATACAACTTTCTGACAATCACATCAATGAGGAACCCTCAAGTTAAGTCAAATTCTGGAACAAAGGTTTATTTTTTGAAAAGTAGCTGAAAGAAGAGGTCGTGTACACAACAAGAAAGCAAAGTTGTGTTTCCATTATAGAACACGAACGATGTGAAAATTATACAAAACAGTCTGTAAATGATTTAGCAGTTAATGTATTTTTTGTAACCAAATTGACACATTAAAACACATTACATCCCAGATTCTGTATGCACACAATGTACACATGTGCCATTTGTGTTTCTCACCAGTTAGAAATGTATCAAGTCTAAAAACGGTACAAAAAGGTATGCACGCGCACAAGCCTCTACTGATATGGTAGTGAACTACAGTGACTGAAACTCTGGGGTCCGCTCTTGGACCGTAACACAGTAATCCCTCCATTTTACAGTCTATTTATTCCCCGTCACTCCTCAGAGCTGGAACCGCCAGCACAGGTGCCCCAGTCTGTCAATGTTTTTATGTAGCACGCTGTGGATTGGCGCCACGTATCTTGCCACGTCGCCGTCCCGTGAGAAATCTCTGCAAAACATGCCCTTCTCCGAGCTGAAGACAAACTTCTGGGGCATGGGCCCATTCCCCCTTACGTACTCCCACACAGCCAGCAGCAGCAGCCTCACCTCGAAGGGAGTCAGGTGAGGGAAAGCTTCGTGGACGTTGGCCAGGACGGGCGGCAGGATCTGGCCTTCTCCCATGCAGGACACCAAGAGGCAGGAAGCCTGGAGGTGCCATGGGGAGTCTGTGGATGCTGCCTCGCGAGATGCCTCCCAGTGGGCCAACAGAGTGGCCAGGAGGCCTCGGAGCACCGCCGAGCAGTAGCAGAGAGCCGGTCGTCCAGCCGCAACGACCTGAAGCAGAGGGAAGAGCACAGGGTGGGCCTCAAAGCAGCGCCGAATGTGAATGTCTCTCTCCACTGTGGTGCGGGCGTGCTCTTCTGGGGGCCAGGATAACTCGCTATTGGCTACGTCGGGACAGACGTTTTCCACTAGTGTGACTGCAACAACCTTGGCTGCCTCCGCGTTGATGGGTGGCGGCTCATCGGGGTCAGATGGTGATCGTGAGCCGTTCAGACCGGAGGAGCTGCAACACTTGACAATAACTGCCAGCAGAATCTGAATGTTCTACAGAGAAAAGAGGACGAAAACATGCACATTATTACAGATTTATCTCCTCTGTTTGAACATTTCATAGGAGTCACATGGACCAATCATTTTTATGCACAACTTACAGTAAAAATACATTAAAAAAAAACCACTTCCTTAGTCTATTTATAGTTTTAACTGCTCTGCAATCTTTAAACACTCACCTGTATGACTAAAGATGGATCAGGCAGCTGTGTGATGGTGCGAGCCTTTAGTCCCTTGCCAATCACACCTGCGTGAAACACAGACCACACACTACTTGAAAAATTAACGGTGGTACCAAACCGACAGTTGACGTCCAGCAAAGAGGCTCCAACATCAGGCGACACAGATGGGGAAGGCACAGGGGCGCCAGACATGTCTGCGATCTGCCCTCCAAATAGGTCAGTGTTGCCTTTATGTAGCGCTCCTTCAACCAGCTGCTGAAGCACTGATTTGAGCGTAAGAGGAGAGTATGCGGCAAAACGGGACAGTAGAAGAACGGAGCAGTTCACTGCTTCACCTGCCTGCCCTCCATCTCTCCCTGCCTTCCCTCCTTCTCCTCTCCTTCGCAGAGTCAGGAAGAAATGAGTGACGGCGGCGCGAGAGAGCTGGAGCAGCTGTGCTGGGGAGCAGGTGCGAGGGAGCGGGCTGCAGGACAGGAGGCGTACTGCGGCGTGAGATACAGCTGGGTCACCGTGGAGAAGAAGTGGGCAGAAATCATGGAGGTGTCCTGAGACCGCCGAGCCCACCTGGACCACCATGGAGGACTGAGCACCTGTCGCTCCTCTTCTCTCCTCGTCCTGACTCTGGATGGCTGCAGCCAGGTTGAGCAGCAGCTGCCTAAGCTGCCGAGGCCCCAGAGTGTGCGTGTGGATCTGCGCCACGCTGCGTGCAATGGCAGCGGGAATGAGGCCTGCCATGCAGGAGGAGAGCGTGGTGTGGAGCTGCCAGGCCAGAGCCAACTCCTCTGGATTGCGGGCCTGAGTGAGCAGCTGGCAGAGGGCCTCAGTGGCTGTGCTGGGACCCCCGTAAACTGAGAGCAGACACAGCAGCTGGTGCAGCCAGAGGTGACGCTTCCTCTCCAGTCGCAGCGTCTCAGCGCACAGCTGACCAACGTGAGACTGCAGCTCCTCCAAGAACGGGATGACCCTCTGGGGCTGTGACGAAGCAGAGTGATGGGGGTTGACCTCAACTCCATCAGTGCGGTTGAATACTAACTTGTGGAGATGCAGGAGCAGCATCTGCAGGAGGCGGTCGCAACCTTCCCGGACTCCTTCGTGAGGTGAGGGAGTTGGGCCTGAGATAATGACTGAAGCTGGGGTCGCAGTGTCTGCCAGAAATCTGAAGACCCGGGCCCCTCCCGAGGGGCTCTGGCTAATGAGATGCACAACCAGGCCCAGCATGTTATCCAGTTCCTCTCTAGGGAGGCCCTGCAGCACGGCCTGTAGCTGGAGCAGGACAGGGGGGCGCAACAACTCGACAAGCTCTGCAGACACAGGACCAAAAAGGTTTGGGGACATTGCTGCCAGCTGCAGGAGAAACGGCACCGCAGCACGACGAAGCTGAGGGGAGCTTTCCCAGGATGTTGAAGATGAGGTTGGAGATAGAGGGCTCGACGGATTGAGACTCTCCTGGAACATCCTCAGCAGCTCTTTCCGGATGCTGTCGGAGTGGTGAGCGGCGAGGTGTCCAAGGATTCCCACCACCGAGCCGATCTTTGGCACTCTGCTGCCTTTATCCACTCCCATTACAAGCAGCCCTTGGTCCTTAGCACCATGAGAGCAGAAGTCCTTCAGTCCACATGCCATCACTCGGCTGATGATGGTACCGGGGAAGGCAGACCCGATGTGAGCCACCACCCAGTCAAAATGTGGGGAGTGCTGAACTGAAGTGTCCAAAAGAGCATCGACACAGGCATCGGGGCACCAGGCCAGCATTGCAGCCAGACACTGAGAGTAGGCTTCCATGAGAGATCGAGTGGCAGCACAAGACATCCAGAGCTGAAGCAGCTCGTTGAGGCTGGAGGAGTGGGGGGCGACACGGCGCCCGGCATGCTTGCTGCTCAGCTGGCCCAGTAAATCCACAGCCCAGGTGGACACTAGAGGGGCCCAGGCTCGGGGGTTGAGACGGATGAACTCTGACAGCACGGCGTGAATCTCCTACAGACAAAAGAAATAATAAAACAAAATTTACCTTTAAAAATCTTTTTTTTTAACTTCAATATGTACATATTTATTTTATGATGGTGTATTTTTGTAGTCACACCTGTATAATGTCCTCCAGGTTGGAGCTGACCCCAGTGCTGGCATTACTCTCCGTCTCTAGGTTGTGCAGGAAGGCGGACACATGCTCATCGTACACGCCTCGCAGATGCTCCAAGACCGCCCCACGACAGGCCGGGACTGAGCGCAGCAGGCGCACAGCGCAGCGAGCATGTTCTCGGACGCTGAGCTTCCGGCCCTGAACGGTGTCAACGCCGCTGATGAAGGACTTGATCTCCTGAGACAGTTCCTGGGTACTAGAGAAG